ATTCAACTCCCAAATCTTTCAAGTTTTCTCAAAAATTCATTCTGGTGTCATGAATGTTTTGAACTCCATGGAGATAAGAATGTATCAAATTTTGGGTGAACAGTTTCTGTAAATGTTCACTAATATATTTTATGACTGCTTATAGCTCTTTCTTTAGTTTATATTTAAGTGACTATTTGAAAGTTCAGAATTATTTAGAGACTATACAAATTTAGGTTTGATTGCTGCAGGTTTTCATGCACTAGCAGACAAGGGCTTGTTCATTCCAACCTTCCTTCCTAGTTATTATAAAATATGCCCTAAATTCCACTGGTCCTGTCCTTTTATTATCTGAGCTGAAACTGTTAGGGAAAATATTCAGTGATGTTTTTTTGCAAATTGAAATAAACTAAGTCCACTTTCACCCTCTGGTAACACATGATTATCTAGGTAATGAGCACTAATGAATTGCTCACAGATGATTGTCTTCAGCAGACCCACTTGCCTTTGTCCCCAAAGCTTATTCTAGTGTTTAATGACTCTACCTTTGATACTTGAAACCCACTGATAAAAGTCAAAAGAGTGTTTCAGGATTTCTTCATCAAAATTCTACTTTTACATCTAAATCTATTAGCTAATGTCTCTGACTTTTTTATGTATGTTTTAAAATTAATAAAATGCTTATATTTAAGAAATTTATTATACAATGCTTTTTGACTATTTGCTTATAATATATTTTGGAAGAGGTTTTAGGTGTTTATATTTAACTTTCAAATCATGCTGAGTGGTTTTGTTCTTTCTTCTTACAGGATTTAATTGTGATGGGGGCCCCAGGATCATTTTACTGGACTGGCTCTCTTTTTGTCTACAATATTTCTTCAAATAAATACAAGGCATTTTTAGACAGACAAAATCAAGCAAAATTTGGAAGTTACTTAGGTACTGTAAACAATTGATAAATTCAAATTATCTATTCCTTAGAAATTATTTGTTCCTTTCTAAATATTCCAGTAACCAATATCAATTAGACATCTCAGGAACTGTCTCTGTGAAGCATTAAATCAATGACATTCTAGTTAACATCATATTTTACAATGATATGGGTGACTGAAGTCATCAGTGTAGGATTCCTAAATTGGAACCCATGGTTTAGTTTATTCTTGACAGTTCACTTTTGAACACTCACAGACTTGCATCTTTGTGGAGGAACTGTTGAGTGCTCACTGTATCCTAGGAAACTCTTGTAAGAACTTTCTGTGCATTAACTCATTTAAGCTTCTATCTAATAAGTTCATATGCATAATTTCTTAGAAGATCAAATGAAAACCAATAGGTCTAAAAATAGCATTCTAGATAAAAGAGACATTTTGAAATCTAGACATTGCTCATTGACCTTTGACTCAGAGAAGTCTATTTTAGCTTAAGAAAATTATCTTGGACTGTTTCCCTGAGTTTCACTATTTTTATCATTCTTTCCTCCCTCCTCCTCATTATTGTTATTTTACAAATCAGGAGTAGTATACTTGATCATCTCTCTTTCTACAAAATACAAAGTTTTCTGGCAATCATTCTTACTACAATAAAATGTTTCCATGCATATGTTTGTTTGAACTGCATGTGCTTTAAATATAAGTATCATGTGCTCAGAAATAGCAGCAATAAAATAAGTAGTATTCTTGTTCTCATTCAAACAGAAAGAATTCATTTATGATCCAACATTTCCTTTTGTATGATTGAAGGATAGCATAATGTATTGCAGGAAATGTAATCTGATGTTCTGTTTATTATCACAAAAGGAATATTTGTATGTCATCAAGTCATTACAATAGAAAGGGTGATGTCATAAAAGTTGAAATTTATAAAGATTTTTATTTAACAGTCAAGAATTTCATACATTGCCACATATTTCAGTTATCATTCTAGAAGCAGGTTGCTCATTCTTGAGATAGAACAGCAAACCAAATGTCAGAGTAGTAGTTTTTAGTATTTAGGACTTGGAAATACAAACCACATAAATGGTTTCATAATATATATGTTCAAATTGCTTGAAGCAGAGTAAAAGACAATTTTCAGTAACTACATTGACTGTCTTTGAAGTTCTGTCTAAAGCAGACCTTTGGAATTTGGTCTTAAGTCTGCGAGTTGAGTTAGGAAATATCTTGCCTGCTGTGATGATGAGTCTCATGCTTTTCTCTTTGTTGAAGGGTACTCAGTTGGAGCGGGTCATTTTCGGAGTCAGCATACTACTGAAGTGGTAGGAGGGGCCCCTCAACATGAGCAGATTGGGAAAGTAAGACTTGCATTTTCTCCTTATTTCATCATGAAGTCTTCAGTGGATTGCATGAGAAAAACATTAAAGAGAAACTATAAACATTAAGGAATGTGGGACTGGAGAGATAGCTCAGTCATTTAGAGTACTTGCTATTCTTCTAGAGGAACTGGATTTGGCTCCGGCACCCACATGATGGCTAGCAACCATCCTTAATTCTAGTTCTAAGGGAACCGAAGCCTTCTTCTGTCCTTCACGGGCATTGCATACACTTACATACATGAAGACAAAACATTCATACACATAAAATACAAATAAATAAATAATTTTTAAAGAATGAAAATTAAAATGGTGAACAATGCATTACAATAGTTGATTTTTTTCAAGATTTATAGTTTTAACAAAATTTAGCAGAAAAACTTTAAAGGAAATCATATAAGTTAGATGAGTTTTTTACGAGTAAATGATTTATAAAATAAAATGATTTATAGATGTCCAGAAAATACATTCACTGGTTAACATTATTAAAAAGGAAATTGAGGGGCTGGAGAGATGGCTCAGCGGTTAAGAGCACTGACTGCTCTTGCAGAGGACCCGGGTTCAATTCCTAGCATCAACATGATGGCTATGAACCATCCTTAACTCCAGTTCCAGGGGAATCTGAAGCCCTCTTCTGACCTCTGTGGCACTGCACAACATGTGTGCACTCACATACATGAAGGCAATACACTCATAAAATAAAATAATAATAATAAAATAAAAAAGGAAATTGAGACAGGTATATATGCATGGTGAGACTAGAAATAATAAAATGTAATATTTCTAGTTCTAGGTTTTGGTACATCGCCATGTGAACATTGGTCATTCAAAGTTTCTGTGTTTATCTTTTGAAAAATGAAGCAAACAGTTTCTGTGCCTTCTCTATGGAATCTAAAATATAGTTCTTGAGAAAAAACATTTTAAGGCAACCTTATTAATATGAAAGTAGATCCTTAAATTTTTTTGTATCACTCTTAAAAATTATTACATTATTTAATATTTTATTAAGCACTTAATTCTTTTATATCTGAGAAACTACATGTTATAAAATTGATATTTTGATCAAATAGAAATAAATTGATTTTAAGGAGAAAATTTAATAAGAAAATAAACTATTTTAAAATTCTTTTCCAAATTACAGGCATATATATTCAGCATTGATGAACGGGAACTAAATATCTTACATGAAATGAAAGGTAAAAAGGTAATATGTCTTTATCTTTGGTATAGCTGAGGGCTTCTGTGAATAATCCTGCTATTTCTCAATGGCTGCATGTGGTTTGCCTTGGAACAGCTTGGCTCATATTTTGGAGCTTCTGTCTGTGCTGTGGACCTCAACGCAGATGGCTTCTCAGATCTCCTGGTTGGGGCTCCCATGCAGAGCACCATCCGGGAAGAAGGAAGAGTGTTCGTGTATATCAACTCTGGCTTGGTACGTCTGGAAGTCATTAATGAATTATAATTCAAACTGGAACTACTCCTATCCCAGATTTCTGAGACTATAGATTATAATAATTATCATTATTATCATTTTATTAATTATGTGTGTGTATGTGTGTGTGTTCACATGTCTGCTCATGCAAGTATGCCACAGAACATATGTGGAAGTCAGACTGAATCAATTCTCTCCTTCTAAGGTGTGTTCCTGGGATCAAACTCAGGTTGTCAGACTTGAATAGCAAGCACTTTTAGCCACTGAACTATCTTGCCTGCCCAAAGTTATAGATTCTTAAAGCTTATTCTATGAACAAAAGTACAACTCTGGGAATTTTATTGATGCTCTTGAACTAAAATGGAGCATGGCCATGAATGGGCAGCTATTCCACCTGGAAATTTCAAAAATATGAGGTACAGACCTTAGTGGAATCTCTCTATTATTTACTGCTTGTATGTGAACACCCTAGTATTTGAAATTTCTTTTAGTTTAATTGTGAACTACATCTAATTTCAAACAATGATTTTTATAGGAACTTCAAAATGTGGATTTTTATGTAGTTCAATAGTTATAGGTCCTACATAACTTAGTAAATTATAAAATGTTTCTGGGAATGGATGAAGCTGAAATGCTTTCAACTTCTTGACTTGCAAACAGAAATAAAGTGCATTGATAAGATGTTAATGCAGCTTATGTAAATTATATTCCTGAAAATATGAAATTGACATCATTTATTCCAAAGTGGATATACTGTTTCAATAGGTGGTCACTATCATCCCATTTTAAATCATGAGCAGTGTTTTTAGTGGAAACAGATGACTTGATTCAATGTCAAGAGACCCTACTTCCTAATATTAAGAAGAGATCCTACTTGGAGACCCTACTTCTTAACATTAAATGAAAACAAAGAATTGATAAAACCTAATAGAATCTTCTTTGCTTATTCCTTTGGTTTGAAAATTAAAACAGACTTATAAGAAAACTGATTCACTTCTTATAGCAGAGCATCTCCTGGTCAAAATTCAATGAAGTGTAATTTACTTCGAGAAGGCACTTGTAAATTTGCTTAATCAAAAATTTCAGAGGTTTTAATAATGTCCATTCCAAACATCAAACTAAACTCTGTACAATCTAAACAGGAAAAACTCCTAGTCTTATAAGGCCAAGGAGAGTCAAAGTTCTAAATACAGACTAGGAAAGTTATTCATGCAATGAGATTCCTTAGATTGTCTTTAAATTTAAATGTAATAGTAGAGGAAAATTACCCTCCAGACAATGATCACTATGATCTCATTAATAGCAGCGATGCTCAACATCATACCATAGACATTTCACCTTTCCCTCTCCATAGACAGCTTTCATTATATTTACTAGATCCTTATGTGGCAAATGTCTCTTATTTTTCCCTTGTGACAAATGTTATCTTTCTTTAGAGAATGAAACTTTTAAAGAACAGTTTAAATGGTAGAAATCGCTTCTAAATTGAAAGAAAATTTTATCACTGAAATCTTAAACCATCCCAGTATGAAAGTAGACAAAAGTGGAACTCTTTTGTTTAAAGAGCAAAAGAAAAACTTGCCCACTAGGCTGCTGCCTTTTCCTTCCCTCTGCCTTACCTGGAAGCACTGCTGTCATCAGTTTAGTGACTGATTTCAGTTTTTAAATCCTATGGCATGGGCTAGTTTTTGTTTCTTCTCAACTGCTCTCCTATTTCTTAACTCTGATCTGGCACTGGCCACTTAGTATCACATTATATTTATTTGTCTAGTTTGCTACTGGAGTTGGTTTGATTGGAATATTGCCTGTCCCACCATGGGAGGGGAATCATCTGCCTTGTTTACTATTATTTCCTCGGGGCTTAGAGGAGTCCTGGACAAGTAGGCACTCCAGAATTATTTTTCAATGCTCAAAGAAAGAATGATACTTGAATGACTGGAGCTTCTACCTAATCTATTAAACGGCTCTCAGGGGTCCCTAGTGACCTCTTAGCTATCATTCTCTGTGCCTGGAGGATACTTAAAGAATGATCACCACTTACTTCTCTTGAAATTCTTCTAAAACTGCATTGTCTTAAGTTTGTGCCTCATCTGTCTCTCCTGAAGCCCCATTCCCTTCTCTTTAGGCATTTCTGAAGAAGCCACTCTGTTTTACCCCTCAGTCCTTTGATTTAATCATGTCTCGCTCGGGTGGTGGCGATTACATCTATAGATTTATCATCTTAATCTATTTATAATAAAGCAAGTGATATTTAGTAGCTGGAACAGAAGACTATGAAAATAGCAAAAATAATCTCAGTGGTGATTCCCAGAACCTGTAAAGATGCCAATCATGGGGTAACCAGTGGAATACAACATGGTACATATGAAGCAGATGCAATTCACCTTGGGTCAAAAATAGTTCAAAGCAGGGTCTGGAGAGATGGCTCAGTGGTTAAGAGCACTGGATGCTCTTGCAGAAGTCCCAAGTTTGAATCCTAGCACCCACCTGGCTTGTCAGAAAACAACTGTACATAGTTCCAGGGGATCTGACGTCCTCTTATGGCCTTCATGGGCATTGTATGACATGTGTGCACTTACATACATTCAGTCAATACAGTCATACACATGAAACAAAAAATAATAAAGTATTTTTAAAGTATTTCAAAGGAAAAGTAGTATTTGAGAAAAACAAGTAGAGGGATTTCCCATTATGAAATAAAAGGTGAGTGGCGGTTAATGGGGCAAAGAACATGTGTGTTTATGGAATGACAAGTAGATTTGCTTAAGAAGAGGAAAGGATTTATGAGTAGGGCATGGAAGCTTTTAACCTATGGTCCTGAGATCACCAGAGTCTGTAAAAAGGACCGGTAGCTGTTATGGCTCAGCTCATTATCATGGCATCATGAAACCACTTACTATAATTACCTTCAGCTTCAGAGATAACAGCTGACCAATATGAACTGCTGCTAGGATAAGTTGCCAAAGGCCAACTTGAATCATGTCAGTCCTCAACTCAGGACCTACAGTGGCTTCCTGTTGTTCACTAGAGTAAGAGTAAATTTCCTTTCTCAATCAAATTGCTATTACCTAAGACAGCAATTTGGCTTTTATTGCCTCATTAATTATATATACCATTCATTACCTATGTATCCTTCGGAACCTGTGCTTTGCTAGTAGCTTTTTCTGTGTATTGAAAGTGTACTTTCCTTTCCATAGCCGCCTTGAGAGTTCCCACCTTTGAAGTCCCTCCCAGGTCGTCATTTCTTCCTACTGTTTATTGACATTCTTTCCTTGCCTCAGTCAGCTTTCTGTCCTTGCTTCTTGTTAGCACAAAGCAATTTGTACTTCTAAGTTGTTTACATGCTTGTGCTAAGACCTTCCTGTAACTGTGGTTTCTGGAGGAAACGGAGTATGTTTTATATACACACTGCCATGCCCCTATCACCTGTTCACTCTGCACAGTGCATTGTCTTTAGTGAGAACTCAATAAGTATTTGTTAAATTGAATTATCAAAATGATTTATTGGATTTTCAAAGCTAGGAATCATGAGTTTGATGATTCTTTATGTCCTCTGAGCTCTAATCATACTATTATAAGTGTTGACTTACTCAATAAATATTTATTGAATTGAACTGAGATGTGTATACTAAAGCTCAATCGGTAGTTTGACGCATTAGAAAAATCCATATCCAATTACAGCGGCAAATCATGTGTAAAGCTGTCAGGGTGTTTTATAATGACACTTTCTTTCCCTTTCTATCTAGGGAGCAGTAATGAATGAAATGGAAACAGTGCTCATTGGAAGTGACAAACATGCTGCAAGATTTGGGGAATCTATAGCGAATCTTGGCGATATTGACAACGACGGCTTTGAAGGTAACTAAGAGTTGCTAATTTGGCACTTGATTTCCACATTTAAAATGGTTCATGGAAGAGAACATGATTGGGTTTGTGCTATTTGTCTTTCTATTGAAAATGGAGCCAGAAAGGTGTGCTCCCTAGTTTTAAATGTTTTTTTCACTGTGTGCTATTATATCTGACTTCTTGTCCATTATTGATATTTACCTTTGTTAACCGGGAGTGATAGTCAAAGTACCTTATTTCGTTTGCTCTAATGGCACTATTGATTATAAATTGCATAATCTTTAGTTCTCTCTAAAAAATATGATGGCTATTAAAAAATGCCAATCATTTTTTTTTTAACTTTAGAAAGGACCCTGATTTTAGAACCAGATACAGGGGATTGTATCATAGACTCATTGGTCCCTGATATTTAACAGTATCAGTAGAGTCAAGGAACTGACCAAACCCAACTGAGCTTGGTTGTAAAGCTGGAGTAGGTTCTAGAAACCCCTGCTGTGCCAGGCAATCCCTGTTGGGCCTCTGCTGTGTTACAGGATTTGGAGACTTCCAGAGATGAGCAGTGATGAGGCACGACTGGGAGACTCAGGGGCAGGGGAATTGGCAGCCTGTGATTCTTGTGTTTCCTTACTGTTTTCTTTGACATTATTGTGTTTTTCTGGGGCAGGTAGATAGAGCTATTTTGTGTTCATGGCTAGCATTGTCCGAATGTGCAGACAGGGAATGAAAACTCCATGGATTCTTTTTCTTTTGCCTTCAGGATTAGTTGCCACTCATTGTTCACGTTCCTTGATTTGACAAAATTTGTGGTGCTTTACACAGCAAATATTAAGTTCTTTTGGAATTATCATTTTCTAAAAATATTCTTCAGGGAAAAAATTAATGCCATACCATCTGTATTTTGTTTTGATGAATTTTTGTGTATTTCGTTCAAAATATTTTAATCATCTTTATAACCCCTTCCCCACCCCTGCCCTCCCATACCCCCCCACCAGATTTCATGCATTCAGTCATTTATATTAAGGCTTATCAAGTCAAGTTAGTGTACCCAGATGTCCCTCAGTGCAGGTTCATCCACTGGGGGTCTACTCAGCCCTTCTAGAGTCCCTCCCTTAAAGACAATCAGCTCTCTCTCACCCAGCAGTAATCAGCTGCCAATAGTTCTTCGACTAAGATTGGTGCCTACTGCCCATTTCCCCAGTTCTATGCTGGGTTTTTGACTGCTTGAGTTTGCATGGGTCTTGTGCATGCTGACACCATTGCTGTAGGTTCGTATGAACAAGATCCCAGGAGCCTGGTCATACACTACCTCTCTGGCTCTTACAATCTCTTCCTCAACAGTTCCGGACATTTTGGTGGATGGAGTTTAATATAGGGGGTCCTGTCCAAGGACCCACTCTCTGCAAACTTATTCTCTATGCTTTGACCATTTGCGGTCTTTTGTGTTCATCACCCTTTGTTGCATGAGGGGTCTTCAATGAACCAGCTTTTCATTTCAGTAATTCTTTGTATTTTTTTTTTTTCATTTCTGCCCTGATTTTGATTATTTATTCCCATCCATGGTTTTAGGGGTTGGTTTGTTTTTGTTTTTTTCCAAGGCTTTAAGGCCTATCATTAACTTGTTTATTTAGGGCTCTCCTGTGTCAAATAGATTTTGGTATGTATCATTGTGTCTTTATTTTCATTCAATTACAGAAAATTTTAAATTTCTTTCTTGATTTCTTCAGTGACCAATTCAGCATTCAATAGTGTATTCTTTAATCTCCATGAGTTTGTACACTTTCTATAGTTTCTATTTCTATTAATGTCTAGCTTTATTCCATTGTGGTCAGAATGCAGGATGTTATTTCTATATTCCTGTATTTGTTGATACTTGCTTTATTTCTTTATATGTGTTCATTTTTGGAGAAAGTTCCATGGGATGATGAGAAGAATGTGTATTCTTCAGTGTTTGGGTGAAATATTCTACAAATATCTGTTAAGTCCATTTGATTTATGATGCCATTTAACTCCCATGCTTCTCCATTTGTTTTTTGCCCAGATGACTTGTCTATTGGTGAGAGTGGGGTATTAAGTCACTGTCACTGTGTTGGGGTTGATCTGTACTACATCTAGTAGTATTTGTTTTATGAAATTGAGTGTGCCTGCATTTGGTACATGTATGTTTAGAACTGTAATTTCTTCTTGGTGGATTAATGAACAGGAAGTACGTTTCTTTATCTCTTCTGACCAATTTAATGGAACTCCTTTTTGTCAGATATTATAATAGTTATGGTGTTCCTTATAGCAACATGATTGCTATACTAGTATGATTGTGTCAATTCTACTAATGATTTGCATTACAATTAAATAAATGCTTAGCTATCAGCAGAAAATATGATCAAATATCATACTTCTCTCTATATTATATAAAAAGTTGAGATGAAGAGGGATGGAGAAACATTTTATTACTTACTGTATATACTTTAAACTCATTAAGTTCTTTCTCTAAAGATAGCTAGAGTTTTAGAACCTTATAGGTCACACTAAGTGTCATCTTAGGAAGTACAAATTTGCATCTGTGTAAGCTCAAGACAGGATATCCTGTGTCTTCTGCATGAAAAGAACCCTGATATGGGCTTTTCTGTTTCATCTGAAGACTCATCTGCAGTGATTCAGGATGTCTGCCTTAATTTAGATTAGTAATGCTAGCAACCAAAACCATAAGAATTTCTGTATCAACCACCTCATAGTCCAGGCTTGTTATTTTAGCATGCATTATTATATAGAATCAAAGTCCAGAGTCCTAGTTCCTAGGACTTGAGGCACATGGTAAAAGAATAAACTCAGCTCTGATCCATGGTACTACATGATCCTCTCTTCAGAAGCTATGACACAGTTCCCCACCCATTTCTTTCCATAATTCCCTTCTTTGGCCTCCTCTCTTTCTCTTCCTAGTCCCTTCTCCTGCTGTGTTTCTGGGTGTATTTACTCTGTGGTTAATCTGTCTACAGCTCTTCTGGACCAGATAGATGTGTTTTTCCACATGGACCAAGGTGCCTCTTGATCCCCTGCCTTTGCGTTGCCTTTTCCCTCTGTCCAACCACATTCCCCCCCCCCTT